AGCTACTCGGGTGGCTGAGGCAGGAGAGTCTCTTGAACCCGGGAGGCAGAGGTCGCAGTAAGCCGAGATCGCACCACTGCACTCCAGACTGGGCAACAAAGTGAGACTCTGTCTCAAAAAAAAAAAAAAAAATTGGTTGCAAACAGGACTCAGTGATTATGAGGCTATAGTCAGTCAATGTGTGTCTGGTGCCATGGCGAACGCACCCCTTGCGCCCTGCCGCCATGGCACAAGGGGTGCTCTGGGAGACACGGGCTGGAATTGGACCTGCATTGCAGCCGGGCGGCCTTGGAGAACCAGAAGGGGGCATCCTTGGGCAAACTTTATGCTCCCCCTGAAGGGATCCCTTTGAAGATCCCCGGGGCTTTCACACAAAGAGCAAAGGTCTAATTCCAGAACATAGGTTCCGGTATTACAGAGTAAAAAGAGGGCACAAGACATGCATTTTCATTATGTCTACTTAGTGAAGGGTGGGCAGACATTTTCATTATTTTTCGTTTTGTTTGTTTGTTTGCTTGTTTTAGAGACAGAGTCTCGCTGTTGCCGAGGCTGGAGTGCAGTGATGGAATCTAGGCTTACTATAACATCTGCCTCCTGGTTCAAGTGATTCTCCTGCCTCCACCTCCCGAGTAGCTGGGATTACAGGCGCCTGGCTAACTTTCATATTTTTAGTAGAGACGGGGTTTCACCATGTTGGCCGGGCTGGTCTCAAACTCCTGGCCTTAGGTGATCTGCCTGCCTCAGCCTCCTAAGGTGCTGGGATTACAGGCATGAGCTACCACATCTGGCCCATTTTCATTATTTTTAAACAAAGGCAAGCAATTTACTTTCTCGGTGCTCACCTGAAGTAGAGAACCTCAACCCCTTACCATGAAAACAGATAATCTGTTCACTGAGCCCCAAGGACAAAGCAGACAGGGTTGAGAAAGCAGCCAGGTTGAGGAAACCTCAGCCTTCCTCTCTGACTCCTCCCACCTAATCATTCCCTCAATACACAAGCTCCTTTCTATCCCAAGGCTATTCCCATTTCCAAAAGCAATGTAAGATCTGCCCAAGAACAGCGGGGAGTTCTTATCCATTCTGTTATCCTAGCAACCTGAGGGCGAAGTTCTTTAGATCACTGACAGTGCCGTTCTTCCGGTAAGTTGATCTTTGCTTATCAGCTTTAATAACTTTATTATACGAAATACCCAGCCTTGATGAAGTAACAATGACTCACTCACTCACACAACAGTTAGTGAGTCATTTTAAGATGAAGTCTCCAAAGTCTTGCTCTGTCGCCCAGGCTGGAGTGCAGTGGCGCAGTCTCGGCTCACTGCAACCTATATGCCTCATAGCCACTATGCCTGGCTAATATTTTTATTTTTAGTAGAGACGGGTTTCCCCATGTTGGTCAGGCTAGTCTAGAACTCCTGACCTCGTGATCCACCTGCCTCGGCCTCCCCAAGTGCAGCGATTACAGGAGTGAGGCACCGGGCCCAGCCTCATTCCACAAACTTTTATTGTGCACTCACTATGGGCCGGGAGCTACACTAGGAACTGGTGACATGAAGACAGGTGACACGGTTCCTGGGCTCAAGATAAAGACACGTGTGCAAACAAATGAAATATGATGTGATATGTGCTCTAATGGTGCTAAGGATAAAAGGAAAAGGGGGAAGAAAAAGTAGCAACAATCTGTCTGACTGGGAGAATGAAGAAAGGTGTCACAGAGTCCCTAACACTTGAGCTGCGAATGAGAAAGAGCATGAGCTGGCCAGGTGACACACAGGAGGAGCATACTCCAACCTAGGAGATTGGGAAATGGGCCAAAATATAGCTTACTATGTAATTAAGTATGAGAGAGTGTAGACTGGACACTTCCGGTTAGTCACACCCGTAAGTTTTATTTCATTTTAGAGGCAGTGGAGAGCCTCTGCAGGATTCTGAGCCCCGTGGTCCCATCATCAGAGTTATGTGTGGCAGTGGTACCAACCTTTTTGGCACCAGGGATGGGTTTTGTGGAAGGCTATTTTTCCATGGACGGGAGAGGGTGGTTTCGGGATGATTGAATCACATTGCATTTATTGTGCACTTTGTTTTCAGTGGGAGCCTTGAGCTTGTTTTCCTGCAACTATATGGTCCCTATATGGGGGTGAGGAAGTCAATGACAGATCATCAGGCATTAGATTCTCATAAGGAGTGTGCAACCCAGATCCCTTGAGTGTGCAGTTCACAATAGGGTTTGTGCTCCATGAGAATCTAATGCTGCCTGATCTGATACAAGGCGGAGCTCTGGCGGTAATGCAAGCAATGAGGAGCTGCTGCAAATACAGATAAAGCTTCACTAGCTCACTCACTAGCGGCTCATCTGCTGCTGTGTGGCCTGGTTCCTAACAGGCTACAAGCGAGTTCAGTTTGTGCCCTGGGGGTTGGAAACCCCTGGTGTATGGGAAAGACTACTCTGCAGCAATGTGGACAAATAGGATGAGGGTGAGCTGTCAAGGAAGACAGGGACAGATAGCAGAGCTGTTTAAAAAGGAGGTTAGGTGGAT